CCTTCTAAAATATGTCGTATTGATTGAAAATATAAAGGTGTCAGATCAAAAGAATGGAGAGAAGGACATGCTTTGTTCTCTTTCTAGCTGGAAAAAAGCTGCAGGAAATGTCACTTATAAAGACAGTTTATTATTTTCAGAGCAAAGCGCAGAGCTCAAAATCAGTATTGTCCCTCTTTTTAAACTGTTGTCAGCCAGAGACAAGAAATACTCTATCAAGCTGTGGGGAATTGTAATACTCCCACACAGACTGCACAGTATTGAATAACAGCCTGATTTAAGTGCCCATCACTGTCCTAATTGGTTTCCTCTGGCTCCGTGTCGGCTCTACTTTCCCCGGCTCTCTAACATTTTGACCAGTTTTTTTGTTCTTCTTTCTGGGAGCTTGAACACGTTGGCTCTCTCTGGCATACGATAATTTACTGCTTGGCCTTATCTCAGACTTCCCTTGCGTCCGGTGACTGATAAAAGCTGGACAAGGTGTAACTTAGATTGATCAATCCTCAGTGGTTATGTTAAAGTCCAGCCGAAAAGCCCCACTGAAACTGTTTCAACAACTAAACTTTGTTGGATTTAAATTGCTCCGTCAACAACAAAATCAACAATTGGTTAAACTGCTTCAGGTTATAGGTAAAAATCTAAAAAAATATATAACATAAACAGTTGCATGATTTTAATTGTCTCTATCTAGACAATTTTTAACTTTCCTCTAAAGACTGATATCATAGGTGTGGTGATTGTAAGAAATAAATTACATTTAACTGAAATAAGCAATACCAGCAGCAATGGTATATTCTAATCCAGTTTTTGTTTAGACACAAAAAACCCAGACAAAACAATTATCTTTGAGTGAAATTAATTTATAGATGGTTTTTTCCTGCCTTACTTTGATTTCAACTATTAGTGCAGCAGATAAATTGAATATTTCAGCAAAAGTCTTTCACATGCGGATACAAGAATCTAACTGGGCACAGATGTTCCCAGAAGCTTGGCCGCTAAAAAATTCAAAATGGCCTCCATGGTGGCCAAAGGAAATATTTTTTTGCACTAAAACTGCCAATATTTATTACAGTTGAATAATCCATGAATGATAAATCACTAAACACAAAAAAAAATTGGCAGAAGCTAATGCTAAGCTGCTAAACACATAAAACAAGTAGTGGAAGCTAATGCTAACCATTAAAACTACTGTCTCTCAGTGTGCTTCACACATCTTCATCTCCTTCCAGTTGATAACTGGTCTTAGATTAATTTAATTGCCTTAAAAGGCGTATAAGTGGCAAACATCTTGAAAACTGGCCATCATCTTGACATTCAAGTGGCTGTAAGGAAATATATTTTTTTTTAAAGTTGGGATGAACATACACATTTTTTTATACTTGTATCCAGAATTAAAATATTTTTACAGTAATGTGCTTTCACTATAGTTACTTTGTCTAGAAACATTTTATGTTCCATTGTCAGTACGTTTCACACAGGAAGCTAAAATCTGGGACACCGCCTCCAAACTCAATTTACTGTTTAAATAATTTTCTGCTTCTATGTAAATTACTGATGTGAGTACAATTTGAAATTTCAGTTGTTTTCAGATTGTAAAAGCCCACTTTGGTCTTCCCCCCCCTCTCTGGCTAGCTGTTAGCTTTAGCCTCCAGGACCAGCTAATCTGTGCTACACAGTGTACTATTGGTCTATCAGGGACCAACATAATTTAGCTAAACCACAGACAGTAATCTTTGACATGATTGGGCAAAAGATGAACATAACAAGCTTTAAAGAGTGGTATCCTTTTAAAATATGAAGGCTCGGAGCGAATATCAAGACAGAGAGAAAAGCAGCTTTTTCAGCTTTTGTGCAATGATGGTTGAATTTCCTTAGAAATAGTATCAACAAGACTGAGAGAAAGCCGAGCAAATATTCTGACTGGAAAGTTACTAGCATGCATCAGAGGAGACCTACAAGAACCAGAAGCAGCATGTATTACTGTCACAGACAGTTAAAAGTTGAAAGACTCCTCCAGGCCATGATATGAGGATTCATAATGAGTGAGCAGCAGAATAAATGAACCAGCCAACGTCGAATGATATTTATATCCTAAGTAGAGCTAATGTACAAAATATAGAAAACTTTCAGCCGGCAGAGAAGCTGCTGTTCGGCTTCAGTGCAGTAAAGGCACATAACTCGATACGTCAATATTGGCCAGAGGGAAATTGGAAGTGACATCAGAGGAGGCAAACACCAGCTCCAGATCGACAGAGGAGTCACTCACCATGGCGAGATCAGACACAAAACCCTGCAAACTCCTGGACTGACTAGAAGGAGTACTGTCTTAGAGAAGAAGCTGCTTTTATATCTGCAGAGCAGTCGCTGTGCTAACGGGAATTAGCCCTCGCAGTACACGCACTGGACGATTCGCTGCTTCTCGAATTTCACTGTTGTGCTCATGATTGTACCCTATATTTTATAACTGGGGTGTACGGAATTTATTATTCTTTTCAATTCAGGTCAATTTAAGTTGTTTGTACAGCTCAAATTAACAGCTAAAGCTTACACTTTATTCTGTAACACCTGTCAATTGCTTGTTAGCAAAAACAGCAACTTATCCAAATACTGGGCAACATATTACATAGATGTGATAATCATGTGGAATTTATCTCTTTGGTTTACAAATGATCCAGTGAGCACCTGTTGAATCTCCATTACAAATGTGCACAAAGCTTTGTTTATATTCTACAAAGGTAATAAAAGACAAAATGTCGCAATTGCGGTGTTTCAATTAAATAAGAAATGCAATTAAAATCATGTGAACAAGTTTTTTCACATTAAAAAACATGCTGTGCCATCATCCTCCAACTACTTCCTGTCGTTTTCTTTGTCTTTTCCGCCAGTAGTAACATTTGTTTGTTGATCACATGACCTATGTGATGCGAAAAAGGTGTTTCCATCGCAGTTTTGCGAAATACAGAGCCAGTGATGTAGTTTGAGAACTCCAGATGGTGTGAGGATAGTGGAGATGGACAGACAGAAAACTGATGATTTTAAACCCCTTTTATATGGTTTCCTTTTAAGATTGCTTTCGTGCCGGGCATTTTACTCTGACTGGAAGTGCGCTTGGTTTTCAGTAAGTGTTTTAAAGGTGGTGACCGCCTATATCCATTTCCTGTACACATAATTATTGGCTTCTCATTAAGTGAACACCAGAGGTAAACACAGCAGCAGTTTGAAGACTTACAAAATAGCCTTCATATTAAATGGTGAGAAGCTGTTTTAAGACAGTTAAATGTTTGTTTTTCTCTTGGCCTCTTTTTGACAAGCCGTTACCCTCCAAAACACCGGACAGTGGAGACATCCTTTTTATGGTTGACTAGACTTTGTCTTTATTCAGCCTTAAAAATGTTTGGAAAAGACTTTACCCCCAGTGTCCCATCCCACCAAAACAAAGACGTAAAAAGTTAGGCTTGCTAAACCCTTTTCATCGACATCAAGCAGATTTAGAAGATAACCCAATTCTCTATGTCGACATCCTTTCGTCTCTCACATCTCTCACATTTTCACCTTTATATGGAAAGACGACTTTATCTTTTCTGTTTCTATTCAACTAAAAATTTGCTGTGGGCAGCTGTTAAGATTTCTGTGAAACAAAGACAAGTCGAGAGAAAGTTATCTACTGCAGGAAAGACATGAATTGCTCATAATCTTTAATGACAACCTCACTTTAAAAATCCCAAAGTACCCTTATAACATCTTATGTGCTTAATTGATCCTACTGTTCTGGCTAATTGTCGGCCTATTTCCAAGCTGCCTTTTCTTTTTAAGGTTTTAGAAAAAACTGTGTACTGCCAGCTGACAGTTTTTAGATGACAATGGCATTCTGGAGGTTTTTCAGTCAGGTTTTAAAACTCTTCATAGCACAGAATCTGCTTTGATTAGAGTTTTTAATGACGTTCTTCTTGCATGTGATTCTGGTCACCATGTTGTTCTGATGTTACTTGACCTAACTGCTGCCTTTGATACAGTAGACCACGACATGTTAATATCGCGATTACACCACGTTGTAGGTATTGGTGGCACTGTTCTTAAATGGTTCAGGTCTTACCTGGAGGAGAGAACAATTTCAGTCAAAATTAGTGACTCTGAGTCATCTGCTGCTTCAATGCCATATGGTGTCCTGCAGGGCTCAATTCTGGGCCCACAGCTTTTCTCTCTTTATTTACTGCCTCTGGGTTCTGTCCTCAGGAAACAGGGGATTTCATTTCATTGTTATGCTGACGATTGCCAGATTTATTTGCCTCTGAAGCAGAAGGATGTCCATTCCATCAAACATCTTCTGGCATGTCTCGGTGATATTAAAGCTTGGTTGGCCTTGAACTTTATAAATTTTAATAAAAACAAAACAGAGGTGATGGTGTTTGGACCCAGTGGCTCCTGTGAGTCCTCCTCTGTTGACCTGGGACCCTTGGAGGTAAACCTGTTATTACAGATCTTGGTTTTAAGGTGGACAGTGATTTCAAATTGGACAGCCAAATCAGAGCCGTGGTTAAGTCCAGTTTTTATCATTTAAGGCGATTGGCGTCAGTGAAATCTTTTCTTTCCAGGCAGCATTTTGAAACAGTGATCCACGCTTTTATTTCAACTCGACTGGATTACTGTAACTCACTATATCTGGGAGTCAGTCAGTCGCTGCTCTCACGTCTGCAGCTGGTTCAGAATGCTGCTGCACGACTTTTGACAGGAACTCGAAAGAGAGAGCATGTGACCCCTGTCCTGGCCTCACTTCACTGGCTGCCTGTATATTTTAGGATTCATTTTAAAATTCTTATGTTTGTTTTTAAATCACTGCATAATCTTGCCATGGCTTACCTCTCTGAGCTTCTTCACCCCTACATACCCTATCGGTCTCTCAGGTCCGCAGATCAGCTGCTCTTGGAGGTACCGAGATCCAGAAGGAAGCTCAGAGGGGACAGGGCTTTCTCTGTCATGGGTCCTAAGTTATGGAACTGTCACAGCTGCTGCTGAGCTGTGACCACTCACACCTGTTCATCATCACCTTGATCCCCAGCTGCTGCTATATAAGGACGGATCTTCCCCCTGCACGGCGTCAGATTGTTGTGAAACCCTCAGCGGTAACACTTTCAGGCCTGCTGGAGTGACTTGAGCTAACTGCCCAGTAACTAACCTGTCTGTCTCTTTCTTCTGCCTAGTTGCCTCTCCTGTCCCCGATCCTGACCCCCACCACTGGCTTTGGACCTTCCGGCTTCAACCCCCTGTCTGTCTGACCCGGAGATCTGGAACCCGTTTTGATCTGGATTTGGACCTGCTGGCTCTGACCCCCTGTCTGTCTGACCCTGAGATCTAGAATTGCCACCCTGATTTGGATTCCCTGGTTCTGACCCTGGCCTGTCTGACCAAGAAATTGTTTATTTCCTATTAAACACCAGTTTTTGTATTTACTGTTCAGTCCCTGCGTCCATCAGTTCCTGAACGTGTCAGAAACGACTTGCCTTTGCAGGTTAGAGAGGCCCCTTCACTGTCCACTTTTAAAGCTCGTCTTAAAACCCATCTATTTTACTTGGCTTTCAACTCCAGCAGGATCTAGTTTTAAATTATATGTTTGTTTTTAAACTGTAAGAGTTTTTATTTTTTTTATTATTGTTATGTTGTGTTTAAATGTACAGCACTTTGTATCAGCTGTGGTTGTTTTAAAGTGCTTTATAAATAAAGTTGGTATGGTATGGTAATTGACCATCTATTTCACCAGATCGAGAGAATCAAAAGAGGGCATCCTCAGTAAAAACACTTCTCGACTTTAATCCTTCAGGCAGAGCAAAAATAACTCTGTCCAGTTTCTTTTTTTTTTAAAGTGCCGATAAGATAAGCAGGGAACATTTTTGCCGCTACTAACAATGATCTCCTCCTGAGACGCACAGGTTCATCTTTGCCACATGACATGTTATTAGCAGCATTTTTTCTGCTCAGACGGACGTGAGAAATCTCACTAAAACCAGCCTGCACAACTCAAGTAAAAAAATAAATTAATTTTAAAAATCTGTGGAAATGAAGAAAGACAACTCATGACGTCCATGAAACCAAGCAGTCCTCCACGCTGTAATCTCATATTCAACGCTGCATACTAATATATGACTCACATTCACTATGTGGTAAAGTGAGCTACATGCTCAAGGACCGTGTGTAATGACCCCCTGCTGACTCTAACTTATGCATTCTGGTGAGACTGTATATTGACTAATTTCAAGGATCTTGCGTTTGTGTGTTACTGATCTTGTTAAATTATCAAAACGGGCTACAAGCTCCCCGCCTCGCTGAGAGTAACATTAAGAGGGAAAGACGCTGCTTCCCTCTTAAGTAATCTACATTTGAGCTATTTTATTTGTGTAAGGTAAGAGACATGCAGCAATGCAAGCTGAACATTTATATATAGCATGTGAGAGAAGTAGAGAGAGAATGCAGTTTGTAAAGGGAATATACAGCATCATGATGGCCAAAAGCTTAGCAGATGTCATGTTAAAGGGGCAGGGCAGTATTATGTGTTTTCCAGGCACATAAAATCATCTTATAGCATAATAAATAACTATGGTAACTTCAGTTGTTATAAAAATTCTACATACATCAAATATGACTTTAAAAATTTGTTTACTTTCCTGTTTAACACCTTGAAATTCAGCCTCTGTCTCTTTAAAAACTCCTGCTCTTTCTAAAACTCCATCTTCGGGAAGTCGTCACAACATGGCTCCTGTATTCATCCTTTAACAACGTTTTTACCAGCGTTACACTGAGAAGTAACTCCTATAATGAGCTAACTGCTGTTGGCTCGTCAGAAGGGGCTTTCTGTGAGTTTGGAAACTTAGAAACTGCAGCTCAGAGGAGGAGCTACATCCTTGAAGGTGGAGCGACTTCCACCCAGGTGTTTTGCACAGCTGAATGGTTGCCATGGGAGATTAAAGGATTCCCCCAAACATGCATGTAAAACTCAAGGCAGCTCTCCAGGTGTGTTTTTGGTTAAAGAATAATAAGATGATATGATGCTCAAAAAAGTCGATTTTACATAATAATAAGCAGTGTACATTAGGAGCATTTGCTAGGACAACAAATGCTCCTAATGTACACTCCTAAGGCTGTTGTATCTGCTTGAGCAGCTGCTTCAAAATAGCACCTTGCATTTTGTATGCATTCTTGTACTTAGGTAAATGTGTGGTCTTCTTGCTTCTAAACATCAAAGAGTGAATAGTGAGCTGTTAGGTAAGATTCATTCACCGAGTAGAATAAAATCTGATTTTTGAGTTTATAATTGGTCAGTCACAGAAAAGAACCAATTAAGAACAAAAATATTCAGTTAACCAGCTGATTTCTCCATATGTTTTAATTTTAAATGGTGTAAAAACATTAAGTACAACAAGTTATACTGGCTGCAACAGAAACTGCAAGACTTGTTGAAGGAAACAAAACCCTAAATGAGAATCAATGTCACAGTCTCTGTACTGTTTTATTAGTTCTGGTTGTTACAGTGAGACTTTTTGCCATCATATTGTTGCGTTTGCTGTCATGTTGTAGGTTTTGTTATTCCTTCTGGGCCACCGTAACTTCTAGATTGAGAAAAAATCTAGTAATTGTTTGTTTCCCAATCATAATCTTTAGTAAATTAAATTTTCTATTGTGATCAGCTGGTTTGTACCCAATAATGCCATAATTTATCTTCATATTGTCTTGGAAAATGATCATTTACTACCTGAAGAGAGAGGTGAGGGAAGAGGAAACAAACGATTGGTCAGCGTGTCCATGTGCTCAAGATAATGCTGGGAGTTGAAGTGAGGTTTATGACCTGGTTACAGATGATAGATGGAGAGCAGTAGGTGCTCCCCTTGTAGGCCAATGCTGTAACTGTGTCTGATGCTGACCTTTTGTTATGAGGACACTGGCAGTAAAACAAGTTTTAATCAGAATCATGTTTAATTTTCCATCATTGCCATTATTTGAAAACAAGGAAGTTACTTGCTGATATAATAAATATTCTGTCAGCTGCAAATGTGTAATGATTGTACATATTTCATTTGATCATTTGCTTAAATCTTGAAGGCTAATCCTACCACAGCAAAGCACCTCCTTGGAAATGTGTCCTAAAAAGTTTATCTCCGTTTGGTACAGAAATAAATATAGAGCTACAGCATGTTATTGTTGTTACCTTAGTTGTTCACTGACTGGAAATCGGCTTAGACTCCAAAGGACCGTCTCCTTCAGACTTAAACATGGCAGCTGTGTTTTTTCCCCTCTCTCTTTTTCTGTCTCTGTAAGCTGTGGGGGAAAGAAAATACAATCTGTTTCAGGGATTGGCGTCAAAAACACTAACACTGAAGAGCTGGTGGTGCCTTGTCTCCTCTTTACAGGCGCCCTGTCTCTGAAATGTCTGTTGGCATCTTTAAAAGGAGGAAAAGAATCAAGTGAGTCAACTCAGGTTGGGTTTATGTGCTTAACAGTGCAGACAGCAATTAAATTTTTATTGTATGGCCCGATGAATAATTGTGTAACAATTAGGGGGTGTAACAATACCTCAGGAAACAATGCACAATTTTAGAATGAAGAACAAGACAAGGTTCTAGCAAGTCTTTTGCAATAATTTTGTGTTTTCAATTATAGAGTAAATGCTACACAAGTCACAAACTGTGTGTGCATGTTTGTACTTGTTTATGTATTATTTTAGGACAATTTCTAACCTTCTGAAAATCAATGGGCTTTATGGGGACCAACGCCCAGTCCTCATACAGTGGACCCCTTGCTTAGGTTAGGGTTAGAAATGATGTAAAATCACATTGTGGGAAACACATAATACCACCAAAATAAAAATGTGTGTTTAAGTTCAGGGTCCTGTTGGAAGAAGATGTTTTTGTCAAATGGAAACAAAATTTACTAATTAACCTTTGAGAGCAAAACACTATGTGTTGGAAGAAATAAAATAAAACTACATGTTACTCTGATCACACCAACATAACACATGGTACATCAAGTGTCATGCTGTGGGGATGCCTTTCTACAACACAAACAAGGACAATGCTCGAAGTTGATCAAAAATGGAGCTGAATACCGCATAGGCCCTTCGAATACCTGTTAGAGACTGCAGGAGACTTAAAATGGACCAGACTCCTCGAAAAACTCTCAATCTGGTGGAGACAAACCCATAAATACTTCCAGGAATCATTTCTGTTAAAGGTTAAAGTATTGCCTCGGGTGGGGGGGGCTGAATACAGATGCACAGCATCCTTTTCATTGTCATTATTTTATTTTATTTCACAGTTGCACCACTGAGTGTTGGTCTATCTCATCAAATTCTGATAAGATATACTTAGTGGTTGTACTGTGACAGAATGCAAAGAGGTTCTGCAGGAATAAAGACTTTTGAGAGGCATCTTAAACTGCCTTGCACCCCCACATCCAGGGTTCTCCTGCTGTTTTCCTACGTGAAAAGCATTAGCTGCTCATCGTTCATGAAAATGACAGTTTTATGACAGTTTCAGCATCTTGGATAGAGCGTTTCTGCAGTTTTTTGGGACAGCAAGTTTCAAAAAAACTCTCATTTTTCAATCAAAAAGCTTTGGTCTAGGATGAGGGCATATGTTTAGGCCGTATCGAAATTGTTTCATTTCCTCAAAATAGAAACACTTTTTTCATGTCACTCGAGTCACATGATCAACAACCTGATGTTGCAAGCCATGAAGAAGAAAACAGGAAGCAGTTGGAGGATGATGGCGCTGCATGTTTTTTAATGACTTACTGCATGAACAAACTTTATTCACATGTGATTTTAGGTGTTTCTTATTTAATGAAAACGCCACAATAGCAAGACTGTGTTTTGTCGACATTAGTGGAATATTAACAAAATTTGCCGCACGTTTGTAACAGAAATGCATCTTGAGACTATTTGCTGGAAAACTGCCAAGTCAACAGTCTTTCCTATGATTGTAAAGGCCAACAGTGTGTTTTTTTGCCTTTGATTCCTAGAAATCAGAGCACTGATTAACATATTAGATGTATATTTGCTTTATGATTTTAATGACATTTGTCAGAACATCATGTTTATTTCTTGCATCATAATTGGTGACTGTATGATGTTTTCTGGTGTAAAGCACTTTGATCTTAATTGTTGCTGAAATGTGCTGTACAAATGCACTTGACTCTGAGCCTCAAACATGACACTTGCTGATAGAAAGCATGAATAAACATCTTGGAAAAAACAAAAGAAAAGACGCTTGCACTGTATTTAAACCCTAAGCATCCTTCTAAAAGGTGCATTTTGAGCTTCCACTGTAAGCTTTCATCGCCTGCCACAGCAAGGTTTTAGTTCAGCTTCTGCAGCATTCTTGGTACATTAACAGGTCAAGGGTCAAAACGACAAGGACTGCAGCGTAGGCTGAATTTCACGTGGCACATACAGTGCATGCAACCAGACACAGAAGCACAAATAGCTTAGGAATGAATGAAAAGCATGATAGCAT